AATCCATCTAATCCAATCTGAGAAGTTGTTGATGATGCCTTACCCACATTACATTAGCACTAGACATTTTAGTTTTTCTTAATGTTTTGTTTCCTGTTTAGACATAATGGTGGTTTAATCATTTCTTGTTTAGACATTACGTATTTTATTTTAGTAAATGACTATACTATCAACTTTGAAGTTAGCATTTATCATTTTTAATTCGTAACAGTTTGCATGTCTGTTTCATTTCAGTTTAATGGAATGCTGGAACAATGACTTGTCAAATGACGAAAATGAAGAAGAGGAAACTCAAGAAAATAAGGTACGGATGGCACTATGTCGAATAGCATGTAAGAGTATATTAATATATTATGAGAAATACATTTGCAAGGAACCATGCCGTACATCTAAACGCACTGGGAATATATTTATCCAAGAGACATTACATGGAAATGAGACCCGGTGATATGAAAATTTTAGATTGAGGAAGTCAGTGTTTCTTGATTTAAGCAAAGATCTAACTGATAAATGTGGTCTTAAACCCACGCGTGGGATGTCTGTCTATGAGGAGTTAGGGATGTTCTTGATGATTTGTGCACATGGCGCCGGAAATCGATTGGTACAAGAGATTTTTCAACATTCAGGAGAAACAATTCATAGGGCATTTTCATAGTGTTCTAAAGGCCATTGGTAAGTTTGCAAGAGATATAATTCGACCACATCCATCTTATAATGATGGTGCAGGAGATCACAAGCCATGTAATCAACGATATCTCCCTTTCTTTAAAGTAAGTGACATACTTAATAATTACATTATTATATTTTTACGTTTTAACTCAAAAATTATCTAGTGTAAAGATATATTTAGTTTATGCATGTATATATTTTTAGGATTGTATTGGAGCACTTGATGGCACACATGTGAAAGCAAGATTGCCTCAAGGTCAAGAGATACCATATATTGGGCGTAAAGGTTATCCTACTCAAAATATTCTTGCTGTTGTCGACTTTAATATGTGTTTTATATTTGCATGGGCTGGGTGGGAAGGAGCAGCTCATGATAATCGTATATTTGGTGAGGTACTTCGTAGACCCGAACTGAAGTTTCCACATCCTTCAGGGGACAAATATTATCTTGTTGATGCAGGATATTCACATAAAGGGATATATGGCTCCATATAAAGGGGATAATATGAGATACCACCTTGCAGAATTTCGTCGAGGTGCGACACGACAATTGCGAGCACCAAATGGACATAAAAAAATGTTCAATTATTTGCATTCATCTTGAAGAAATATTGTACGAACATTTGGGGTATGGAAAGCAAGGTGGTCTATTTTGCGAGATATGCCTTTTTATCATATTGACACTCAAAGAGATATCGTATTGGCTATAATGGCGATTCACAATTACATTAGAAAGAAATGTAAGGTGGACAATGCATTCCAAGAAGCTGAGAATGAGAGATATATGCCACGTGTTGATCCTGATGTTGGAAGATTTACAAGAGTCAACGTTGCAAATGAAGAAAATATAGAAAATCAAGGAGATAATAATATTTGGATGGCACTTCGTGATCTGATTGCTCAAGATATTTATGATAGCAGAATGTTTTAATCTTATTTATTACAAACAACACATATTAAGTGCTTGTTTCTTCTCTACAAACACTGTGTGCATTATTTAAGGTTTTTCTTCTTAACTTTTGTTAATTTATACTCCACCCTTTCTAATTTATGACTGTATACTTATCATAACATAAATTATATATATAAAAAAGATATTATCTAATCATTTTTTATAATTAAATAACATAATAAATAGGTAGAATTTATGTAGAATCTAAAATTTTGAAAAAAATAACGTTTTTAGTAGTGTAAATTGTTATAAGGTCATTTAAGTCATTTTAACATAAAAAGAGCTTATCAGCACTTTTAATCAATCAGTTTCAGCTGCTTATTATTAATTTCAACACTTTTATCCAAACACGTAACTCCTTATTTTTTAAATTAGCTTCAGCACTTAAAAGTGCTTTTCAGCACCTAATGCTTATCAGCTATTTTTAAATCAGCTTCAGCACTTAGTCTTACATCGATGTTCTTTCCATTATTAGCTTTTTGTTACGTCTTGCACATGTTTATATGTCTAGTAGATATCTTGACTTGGCCTCGTCACTACTTTACTGAGGTTAGGCTCAATACTTGCTGGGTACCGCTGTGGTGTACTCATGCTATGCTTCTGCATATTTTTTTATGCATGTACGTCTGATCGAGTTGGTTTGAGACTTGCGTCTGCGCGGCTGGAAACTCAAGGTATACCTGCTTGACGTTCGCAGGCCCCAGAGTCACTTTCCGTTGTCTTTCATTTTCACTGTTTACCATTTTTTCGAGACAGTGATGTACTTGGTATTCCTAGTTACTCTGAGAAAAGGTTATGACTTGTACTACTGGTTTTGGGTTTGTATGATTGATGTTGGTTCAACTATGTTATTACAATTATTAATTAATGTTTTACATCTAAGTTAGTTAAATTCTGTAAGTTGTCAGCATGTGTTAGGGCTTACCGAGTCTCGGTGACTAGGTGCCATCACGACTATCTAAGGTGGGGTTTTGGCGTCCTGACAGCATGTTTCCTTGAATCCAGTTGGATTAGAAGTAATCGACTGACTAAGAAAAGGAAAAAAAAATTATGGTTGCACTGGTTGTCTAGTAGAAGTTTGATCTGAATTGAAGAATCGGTGATGTAATTTTTGGAGTGTCAATACTCCAAGATTTCCACATTTTAGTAATTTTATTATTATGAGAGTTGCTTTCAAACGTGTCACATCATGTGTTCTTTGTGTTTCATGAACACAAAGAATAAGAAAATCAGTTGTCTTAGTGAATGAGAAGGATTTCACTTTCCTTTGAGGATTAGAAGTCTATATATTGGCTTAAAAAATGAGAGCTACAGACAAGTTGTTGCTCTCTCACTGAATCATGTGGATGGCATAATTTTATGTGGGTATCGGGTTTGATATGGTGATCCATGTTTGATAATCAAAAGCCACGTTTGACTTTGAACGAGTGCAGAACATATTACTCAGTACCCTTTTATAGAAGAGGATGTAAAGGAACGAGAGTGAAAAACTGAAATAGAACTTATAAAATACTTTAAAGTATTTTGAGATCATGAATATAATATATATGAAGATATTATATATGTTAGTATGATAAAAATAATATATCAAACTATTGAAATGTTTAGGGGTTACAATGGTTTAGCTAGAAAGCCATCTGAAAAGAGACAGTAAAATATTTGTGATTCTTTACTCTTGTTTTGGAGATTAAAATACTTGTAAATTTCTACTCCTGTTATGGAGACTAAAACCTTTATGATTTTCTACTCCTGTTTCAAGATTAAAATCTGCATGATTTTCTACTCGTTCGTTGAGATTAAAATTTTCGTGACTTTCTACTCATTTGTAGGAGATTAAAGTCTAAGTGGCTTTATACTCATTTTGGAGATTAAAATCATGACGATTTTCTGCTCCCATTTATTATTATGTTTGAAGATCAAAACTTCACCGATTATTAAATTTGGATTGCGTAAGATATTACTCAGTTTGAAAATTTAAAACTTCACCGATTATTAATTCTGGTCGTGTTGTGACACAAACAAGAGTTCTTGTAGTTGGCTCTACAAAGTGATTGGGGTGTCAAGCCAGGAGGGTCTCTTAACGCCTTCTTTTTTCTTCTCATCGGAGTTATTTCACAAAGACAAATATGTATCTGCTTTTGAAAAAGTATATTTGGAATATGACATTATTTATCAAACGACTGCCCCTTACTTACCACAATCTATTGGAATTGCGGCAAGAAAGAATAGAATGTTAAAGGAGATGAAGAATGTCTTGTTGATAAGTTCTGGTTTATCTCAGAACTTGTGGAGGGGAAGCTATTCATACAGCTTATCGGATACTCAATCGAGTTCCCCATAACAAAACGCAATCCATTCTATATGAAAAATGGAAAGTAAAGAAGCCCAACTTAAACTATTTTAAAGTGTGGGATGTTTTGGCAAAAGTGCAAGTTCCTGAACCCAAGAGGGTAACGATAGTATCGAAAACTGTTGCTTGAGTTTTTTGTAGTAGATACAACTAATAGTAAAGCATATTGATTTCTGGTTCACAAATAAAAAATCCCAGCGTTCACGCTATTACGGTGATAGAATTAGATAATGTTGAATTGTTTAAAAAATATATATCCTTATAAAAATAAATGTAGTTGTCTGGTAAAAAATCTAGCGACCTCGGGAAGAAGCAAAGAAAAGTACACCTTATGAGGAGAATTCAAGACGTAATAAACGCCAAAATACAACTACTTGTTTGAGGTTAGACTAGATACTTATTGGGTACATGTTGTTTATGTACTCACACTACACTTCTGCGCTAATCGTGCAGGATCTGAGGTAGGTGCATCTGGCGGTCCTTCAGGCGCATACACCCGTCACCCCGAGACTTAGTGGTGAGCTGCTCTCTATGTCCATTCTGCAATACCCGTAGTCTCCCCTTATTGTGTTTATTTTTTTATCTATCTTATTCCAGATATTAGTATAGGAGGTTTTGTATATTCTATTAGTTTGCTCATGCACTTGTGGCACCGGGTTTTGGGATTATTCTACTAGACATTTTATAGTTTTGGGTATTAATTTCACTAGTTTACTCTTTTTGTTATTTGGTGCTTTGGTCTTACTATANAATGTGCTGATCAGTTGATGAGGAGATGCATTCCTGAAAATGAGGTGGAATTAGTGTTGTATGATTGTCACGCATCACCTTATGGGGGCCATCATGGAGGAGATAGAACAGCTGCAAAGGTGTTACAATCTGGTCTCTTTTGGCCAACCTTATTCAAGGATGCCCATGCATTCGTTAAGAAGTGTGACTAATGTCAAAGAACGGGAACAATCACAAGGAAGCATGAGATGCCTTTAAATAATATTCTAGAAGTTGAGTTTTTTGATGTAGGGCGGATAGATTTTATGGGGCCATTTCCACCGTCCAGAGGAAACAAATACATCTTGCTAGCCGTTGACTATGTGTCAAAATGGGTGGAAGCAATTTCTTTGCCAACAAATGATGCCAAGGTGGTAGCTGCTTTTGTGAAAAAGAACATATTCTCGAGATTTGGGACGCCACGGGCCTTAATCAGTGATGAAGGGACTCATTTTTGCAATCGATTGTTGAATAACCTTCTTGCTAAATATGGAGTTCGCCACAATGTTGCTACAGCATATCATCCGCAGACAAGTGGGCCACCTGAGGTGTCAAACAGAGAAATCAAGCAAATATTAGAGAAAACGGTGAGTGTGAATAGGAAGGATTGGGCTGCAAAGTTGGATGATGCTCTATGGGCATATAGGACCGCATATAAAATGCCAATTGGAGCGTCCCCTTACAAGATGGTTTATGGGAAGGCCTGCCACTTGCCCGTGGAGCTTGAACACAAAGCATACTGGGCCATTAAGAAGCTGAACATGGATCTTGAAGTCGCCGGTGAGAAAAGATTTATGCAGTTGAATGAGTTAGACGAGTTCAGGCTGCATTCTTATGAAAATGCCAAGCTATATAAAGAAAAGACAAAACGATGGCATGACAAGCATATCACACCACGTCACTTTGAGCCAGGCCAACAGGTATTGTTATTCAACTCTAGACTACGGCTGTTCCCTGGGAAGCTAAAGTCGAGATGGTCAGGTCCTTTTGAGGTGGTGCGAGTCACTCCTTATGGTGCGATCGAGCTGCGAGCTTTAAATGGTGAGAGAACATTTTTGGTGAATGGGCATAGAGTCAAGCACTATTGGGGAGGAATGATTAATTGTGAAAAGACCAAGGTTGTACTCGCTGATGAGTAAGCGAGACTCTGCGTCGTGCCGCGACGTTAAATCAGGCGCTAGATGGGAGGCAACCCATTGAATTGTTGTAAACATCGTGCCGCGATGTTAAATCAGGCGCTGGTTGGGAGGCAACCCAACGATAGTAGTAAATGTTGATTTTGTGTTTAGGAAGTGCTAACCAATGCAGGTGACAATGGGCAATTGCTAAGGCCATCGAACAGGGTAAGAATAGGTGAAAAGTTGAAGAAAAATTTCGCCCAGGTGCACGCCCGCGCATGTGGACGCGCTAAATTTGCACCAAGTCTATCTTGGCCGCGCTAAAAATAGCGCGACCGCGCACCTGGGCGCGCTTCTGAACGCGAAACTAGCGCGGTCGCGCATGTGACCGCGCACCTGGGCGCGCTAATTCCTCAAAGATTCTGTTGTGGCCGCGCTATACTATCGTGATCGCGCATTTGGCCGCGCTAGTTCCGTCAGTTGTCGCCAGTTTTGTTTAGTCGTTTAAGTTTTCTTTTCCTTTTCTAATTTTATTTTGTTTAGGTTTTAATTCCCCCCCCCCCCCTTNNATTCCCCCCCCCCCCCTTCTAAACCTCCCGTTCAATAATATACTCCCACCCCTCCTCTAACTCTCCCCCAATCAAACAAACATCAAAACCCCATTTCATAAATCTGCTCCTAAATCCTCTACCCATCTCACTCATATTCCCCCACTTCTTTCTCCCATTCTCACGATTTCCCCCCCATTCTCTTTCTCTACTCACAACCATCATCCATCACAGGTATTAACCCTAGTTTCTTTTTCCTTTCTCTTTCTTCTCTTTTTCTAGTTTTATTTTTTTCAGATATTGTTATATGCAAATACCTTGTTGTAGTTGTTGTTCTTAGATTTTGTGTAGAGAATTTGGTGCTATATGTTGTAGTATTGGTGCGGGATAAGTGTGGGGTGGAAAACCACCTAATTTATGATCTTGGTGGGTGTATGTGGTGGTAGTGTTCTAAGAAGTTTAAAAAGAGCTGTGCGGGGTTAAGGCCCACAAGGTGTTCGTGGAAAGGCCCAAATGAATGTGATAATGTAGTTTGTTACCACCTATGCGTGTGAAGTCTGAGTAACCGCATTGCGTCACAAAATCTTAGTTGGGCTGTGCTAATGTGTTCCCGTGTTGCAGGTATCATGCCTCCACCTAGAAAACGACAAGCCACAGGGGCCTCATCTAGCAGCTACGTTGGTTCAGCTAGGTCGAGAGGGCTGCACAGGCCTGTTCCTTTGATGCTACAAAATTTATTTCGGCCAAGGCACAAGACCGCTTTGTGGAAGAGGCTCATAGAAAGCCAATTCCGGAGAGGGGCATTCATGTCGGTTGGCTCCAGCACCACTGCCCGCACATGTACAATGAATTGGTGAGGCGAGGGTTGCAAACTTTCATCAATGAGCCCGGTGAAGGTAATGTCATGGTTGTGCGGGAGTTCTATGTCAATGTACCGGAGCATGTTAATGGAGTAGTCACTGTGCGCTGACGGGCGGTGAATGCTTCTCTTGAGGCAATATGGACGGCCTACCAGCTGCCTCCACCTCCGGATGCTGGGGATTACTTCTATGAGTACGGCCGCCACCCAATGAACGACGGCAAATGGGCACAGTTTTTTGAGACAATTTGTGTGCCTGGGACATAAGTGGTTTGGATGGACTATGGGGAGAAATTCCACTCCTCTCCACTAACCTTTGAAGGGAAGTGCTGGCTCCATCTCATTACCAATCGTCTGATTCCGTCTCACAACACTACAGAGGTCAATGGTCCACGAGCTGCCTTGATTTGGTGTTTTATAAATGGTTACGACTTCGATGTGGCCAAGGTGATGCATGATGAGATATTCGTCCGGAGTCAAGTCAAAAGGTATGAGTTCTTTTTCCCTTCTCTAGTGACTCAACTATGCAGGGATGCTCGGGTACCCGAAAATCTAGCTGTGGATGGGTTGGTACGAAAGGAGGTCAAATTCCGTGCTGATAAGGTGACCACGGCAAGGAGCCGAAAGTAGTAGCGGTGGAGGCGAGTAGTAGTTCTGAGGATTCTGATGATGAGGAGGATGTTGAGGACAGAGTGGAGGCAGCACCACAGGCTCAGGAGCGAGTTGTAGCAGCTGCAGGACCATCAGGGACTACGACATCTTCAGGAGCTGCCCGGGTGTCCCGTTTCACTGCTTTGGAGCAGGAGATGGCTGGTTTGCAGACCTCCATGACTGATTTGGGCACACGAGTAGACGCGGTAGCTGACCGACAAGTGAAGTCGGAAAAAAAATTCATGGGCTGGCTGCGAGCTCTGCGTCGTGCGTGCAACGTCAACCCAGACACTGTCTCCGACCAGGAGTGACACTTCAGGGAAGTTCCTTCGTCTCACTGCTCTTTCAAATTTTAAGCCATGGGGACATGTCTTCATTTTAAGTGTGGGGTGGGGGTATACTTCATTGTATGTATGTAGTTGTATCATTTGAATGTTGTTTTTGTTGTGTTTTATTTGACTTTGCTAGTTTTGGTGTTAAGTAGGAACAATTAGTTTAAAGTAGATAAGTGGCTCGTACCGATGATGGATCCCTTTCGGAGGGGTTCTTGAGGGACTAAGTCGGAAAAAAAAGAGAAAATATGTAGACTCTTCCCGATGACGGATCACCTTAGACAATGTTCTTGAGGGAAGTTAGTCTAGAGAAAACTCCAAAAAGATTTTTTTATTTTTAGGTAGTGTAGCAACTCCCCCTTGGTTTTTCTTTGGGCCACGGTTCTTTTCCAAGGGTTTTAACTTGAACCGGGTATAGGTAGTTTTTTAGTTTGTTTTCTTTTTGATTCGTAGAGTAGGTTAATGAGCTACGAGCTAGAAAATCAAGAGAGACCCCATAGCGTTGACACACCTGAACACAATAGACCCTAGAGTGTAACGCTTAGTCTTATTTGTTGAATCTCACTAAAGTGCCTTAATTTGTATGTTTGTTACTGAATTGAATGCTCGTATTGGAGCGTCTTGATGAGCTGATCTGGAATGAATCATATGCCATGTGTGGTGAGGTTTTTGTGTAGTCCATGCTTTGTACTTGTGTCTAGAACTTGCCCGGTATGTGAGTTGAAGCGAAATTTGAGGTGATGCTCGATGTGAAAAGTGATTTTAGGCTTTCTTTGATCTTTTTGAGCTTAATTGCTTACCACAAATAAAATTTATCCCTAGTCAACCCTTTTGAGCCTATAGACTTTTATTTGGTACCCACATTACAAGCCTATACCCTTTTTGTTCTTAATTGACATTGTTTGATCCCTTTTACCTCTTAAAGCACTTTAATTGTGAGATGAGCGCTAAAAGAAGTAAGAAGGAACTAAGTGTAGGGGTGGCTTTTGAGTGAAACCAATAAAAGGAAGAAAGGTGCACTTGTTTTGTAGAATAATACACCACTAGCAGAAATTGGAAAAATTTGAAAATTTGAAAGAAAAAAAAAAGAAGAATAATCTGGAAAAAAAAATTTAGAGATGAATACATTGTTGGCTTGTTCTTGCTAGTGGGGTATAAATTAAAGTGGTGCTTAAAGAAAGAGGGAACATTGTTGGGAGTGATTTTAGTTGTGAAATTGAAGTGGGATTGAAGAATGTGCGCTCAGAGTGATTATGTGATGTGTTAAAGTGCTTAGGAGGGTGAACCACTATTCCTAAATATATCCTACCCGTCCCTTAGCCCACATTACAACCATGAAAAAGTCCTAATTGATTTTAGATCGAGTGAGCCTACATTAGTAGAGATTTACATTAAGGGCAAGCTTATGGTACCAATTGCATGCATGTGACTTCTTTTGTGAGGGTGAGCGATTTTCTTTGATATATGTGAGCATGAGACTCAAATGTGTGGATTGATTTTATTCCCCCTATTGTGATTGTGAGGGCATGTGATTTGTGAAGGAAAGGCAAGTCTTGACTTCTGTGTGGAGTACTTTGAGGAAGTATGAATATTGCATGGCACTTGAGAGTCGACTTTTGAGGCTAGGATTGTTCACTGCTAGGTGTAATGTATGTGAATTGTTCTGAGTGTAATGCGTTAGGGGATATGGTTGAGTGAGGGAACCTCTAGAAAGTATAGGGTGATTGCTCGAGGACTAGCAATGAATTAAGTGTGGGGTGTTGATAAGAGGCTGAATTTAGGTAATTTAGCGATTATTTATGCTCCCGTTTGATTATGTTCCGATGTCATAATGTGGTTAATTGATTAAAAATGGGCTCTAATTGTGAATTGTATACATTGCAGGATGAGGAGCCTATGTGATGCCTTAAAGAGGTGATTGGAACTACTTTAGAGCAAAAACGACCCCTCGGAGCTAAGGACGCACGAAGACGAGGAGAAAAATCAAGGAAGTAAAGTGCTGGGCTAGCGCGCCCAGGTGCGCGCCCGCGCTAATTGTAGCGCGTCCAAAACAGAAGGTTGGCTTACTAGCGCGGTCAGATGCGCGCCCATATGCGCGACCGCGCTAGTCCGAATTCCGAAAATTGTTTGCCAGGGGTATAATTGGAAATCTGGAGGAAACCCCACTTAACCTATATAAAGTCAAGCTCGCCCAAGGATTATTTATCAAGGTTTTCATAGTCTAGAGGGAGAAACAGAGAGGCAAGAGGCAAGGAGGAAAATTAACCATCAAGTTCTTCTTTTCTTCCCTTTGTTTTTGCTAATTGTGATGAAATTGAACCTTATTGTGATGAACATGAGTATGAGTGGCTAAACACCCATTGTTCTGGGGTTGTGATTTAGCCATGAATATTGTTGTTTGATATTAGCTTGACCTTGATTATAATTCACCACTATATGGTTGTTTCTTCAATTCTGTGTTTAATTGCTTAATTGTCTGGCCAACAGTTAGGTTCTATTTACTATCTATGCTATGCTTGGGAAAGCCATGTTTAGATTAGAGAAGAATTGAAGAGAGCATGATCTTAACCCTTAGGGGGAGCGGATTTGTGGTTAGGATAGGAATATACCTAGTCACCGTGCTTAATTAAATATCGTAATCTTAATGCATTCTTAATAGATTGATTTCATAGGAATATAGGCGTTAATCTATTGAGAATAGGTGAGTAGTACTTTGGGAGAAGGCTATGAGAGCATCTATCGATTAATTAGCAACCATGAGTGAATTATATGAAAGGGAGAGTTAATTAGAACACAGTACGAATGGTGAATCGATTACAACCCTGGAATACTTGTCTCTACTGAATACACAACAATCAATTTGTTACTTGATAATTTAGTTTTACTTAGAATCGTAGTATAATATAATCATATCATTGAATTCTGATTTTAGCTAGATTGAATAGCAATTTGAGTAATTCCGTGAGTAGTTTACACAAGTCTCTGTGGGTTCGACACTCATCTTATCATTATATTACTTGTCGACCACGTATACTTGCGTGTGCGTTTGGGAGCAACACCTACCTCGGGCACAACGATGCTCCCAAATTAGGACACAAATTTACATTCCCGCAATATGTGTTTAAATACTGCAAACATTTCAGAACCATTACTAACTTGGCTACCTTTTATTTTTCTTTCTTTCTTTTTGATTATTCCCATTCCCCAAAAAGGTTGGTTCGTGCATACTGGCATTATCAGCTTATCATACAAGATCCAGGGGGCCTCCACCTTCTCCTCCTCATAGTCCACCAAAAGGTAAGGGAATAGAAAAAATGGAAGATTCGAACGGCACCAGAAAGGAAAACAACACACAGGTTGAACACGCAGAAACTTCTGATGGTCGGGGTACTCATGCCCCAAATGATGCAGTTTCATGGCTCGAACAGAAAATACTGGAACTCCAGGGTGAGCTTGAGGATTTCCGGAATGTGGAAAACCTATCCTTCTCACTCAGCATCCCAAAAATCAGTCATCCAAACACTTAGAACCCCGCCCCACTTCAAAACACACCCAACAAGCGCCCATAAAATCCTCCCGTACCTCCCCACTATACAACTCCACCACAAAATCAAATATCCCACCACAGTACGAGCCAAACACCTACCACACTCCATAAAATGCTTCACCGGTAATTCCTAAACCCCAGAATTCCACCAACGGTCACCACTATACTCAAATTCCAGGTCACCAAAACAACCCTATATATGTGGAGACCCTACCTTATTCCACTCAACCCATCTCCTATGCACCGGAATCTGTTGAGAAGGACATGCTCATTAAGAACCTGACCGAGGAGCTCAAGAAGTTGACCAGCCGAGTTCAAGGCGTAGAAGGAGGCAAGGGGATAGAAGGTCTGAACTATGAGGACCTATGCATACAGCCGGATGTAGAAATCCCAGAGGGTTACAAACTCCCAAGTTCGAGATTTTTGACGGTACAGGTGATCCCAGGGTTCATCTAAAGACCTATTGTGACAATCTTGTCGGGGTTGGAAAAGATGAAAATATCCAGATGAAGCTTTTTATAAGAAGTCTTACGGGAGATGCCTTGTCCTGGTACATCAGCCAGGATCCTAAGAAATGGCCCAACTGGGTGAGTATGGCATCTAATTTCATGGACCGATTCAGGTTCAACACAGACAACGCACCAGATGTATTCTACATTCAGAACCTCAAGAAGAAGCCCACTGAGACTTTCCGCGAGTATGCTACTCGTTGGAGGTCAGAGGCGGCCAAAGTCAGGCCAGCATTAAACGAGGAACAGATGAACAAGTTCTTTGTCAGAGCACAAGATCTGCAATATTATGAAAGATTGATGGATATTGAAAACCATAAGTTCTCGGATATCATCAAACTTGGTGAAAGGATCGAAGAAGGCATCAAAAGCGGGATGGTAACAAACTTTGAGGCAATGCAGGACACTAACAAAGCATTGCAGTTAGGGGGTATATCTAAGAAAAAGGACGTGGGAGCATTAATGGTCGCGCAAGGACCTAAAACCCCATTCGTATACCGAACCTCTCCACTTGCATATCAAGCACCTCCACCCACCTATCAACCGTCACCTCCATCTATATATCAACCCTCATCCCCTGATATTCCCAACCAGCCACTGCCTATTACACCTATAATTCCCAACCATCTAATTTTCAGTCGCCTCCATCTTGTCAAAACTACCCAAGACCGCGGCTTATTTTTACTGAAGACCATCCAAACAATACACTGCCATTGCTGAACCCATCGACCAACTATATGAAAGGTTGAAGGCTACTGGTTACCTCTCTCCCATCCCTGTTGTGTCCATGGAGAACTCATCCCAATGGGTTAACCGGAATAAGACTTGTGTGTACCATTCCGGTATGACGAATGCCGCACATTGAAGGACAAAATCCAGACTTTGATTGACAACAAGATCATCCAAGCAAAGGAGGCTACACC